TAGGTAGTGGAATGCCTCGTGTCACGCCTCCGCGTTTTAAAACATTGCCTGCAACCATAGAGGGAGCAAAAATACCTCCAAACAAAGGTGCAAAAGGATAGGAGATTAGTAAATGAAGGATGGCCTCATCACTTGCTTTGCAAAGAATACATACAAGAGGTGAAAGGTACATATTGGGCCTTCTTTGGAGAAGCACATCACAGGTGTTGATCCTAACAAGAGATGCTTCCCAACAAGGAAAATTAGTTGGGACCGGCCTATTCTAAATTTCTTTCACAGGGAAAACTACCCCCCCCCCCCCGGTTCTGAGAAATGAAGGCATTAAAGAACGAAGCACAAGACAAAAATCCATTAGGGGAAGCAGTCCAAATCCAACTATCTACAGCTTGTTGGTCCAAGAAAACTGGGTTGAGAAAAGCTAGCAATTCAGCCACAAGTTCACACTCTCTATCCCTAAGACCCCTTCTGAAACCAAAGTTCCAGTTCAATCCCGAAGAGAATAAAGAACAAAAATTGGAGATAGATTCTTTATGATACTGTAAAAGCATGCTAGGTTAAAGTTTAATATAGCTTCTAACCATCAAATACTTACACAGAAATCAATGTTAGACATTGAGTGTAACCCTTTTGTATAACTAAGTGAACCGGGGCTCTGTACATTGATGACATTTGTTTGCTTATACAATGTTTTATTTTAGTGTACTTTTGATTATATTTTCGTTTCAATGAAATTGTTCTATCCACATACTCATTGAAATTTATGCTACTTCATTTTAAGAATAGCGCATGCAAAAATTGGTTTTTAACTTTTCAGATGCTGTCAGCAAGGAAAAGTCTCAATTATATCTCTTCCGGTCAGTGCTCAAATGCATACCTTATCTGATTGATGAGGTTGGCCGAAGTGACAAAATCACTGAGATAATTCCTCAACATGGCATAAGTATTGATCCTGGTGTCCGTGAAGAAGCAGTTCAAGTGCTGAATCGAATTGTAAGATACCTTCCCCATCGTCGCTTTGCAGTTATAAGAGGGATGGCCAATTTCGTCCTACGGCTTCCAGATGAATTTCCTCTTCTCATTCAAACATCGTTGGGGCGTCTGGTGGAACTTATGCGTTTTTGGAGGGCTTGTTTATCTGATGAGAGACTAGAATATGATGCTCAGGATGAAAAGTTGGTGGGCCATGGAAGTAAGAAAGCCCACAAATTTTCTTTTCATCAGCCAGTGGAAGCAATTCAGTTTTCTGCTTCTGAGATAGATGCAGTTGGCCTTATCTTTCTTAGTTCTGTGGATATACAGATCAGGCATACAGCATTGGAGTTGCTGCGCTGTGTTCGGGCATTAAGAAATGATATAAGAGACCTTTCAATAAATGGGCTATCTAATCATATACTGAGATATGAAACTGAGCCAATATTTATAATTGATGTTCTTGAAGAAAATGGGGTTCGTCCTTACCATATTTTGTCGACTACCTAAATCTGTTCTTTCTCTTCGAGGTCGTGGTAGTTTGTATGAATTTTCTAAGGTTTATCTTGAACTTAGTCCTTTTATTTTACAGGATGACATTGTTCAGAGCTGTTATTGGGATTCTGGTCGCCCTTATGATTTACGAAGGGAGTCTGATGCAGTTCCTCCTGATGTGACAATTCAATCCATTCTTGACACTGATAAGAACAGATGGGCTAGTTGTCTTAGTGAACTTGTCAAATATGCAGGCGAGCTTTGCTCAAGTGCAGTGCAGGAGGCAAAGTAAGTATTCTTTGTTTTTTTAATTTCATCATCATCATCTAAGCCTTAACCCAATTATATGGGATTGGCTAGATGGGTGTTGTTTATGAACTTTCCATTCTGTTCTTTTTAATGCCATATCCATTGTTAAATTATGAGTACTTAAATCATTTCTTACTACTTCAGCCCATGTCCTTTTTGGTCTGCCCCTGGCCCTTCTATCCCCTTCAACTAGTAACAGATCACTTCTTTGGGTTCTGTAGGTGGTCTTCTATGCACATGACCAAACCATCTTAGTCTACTTCTGCTCATTTTATCACCTATTGGAACTACTTCTAGGTTCCTTCAGATGACTTAAATATTTCTGATCTGACTATTTCTAGTTTTTTCATTAATACATCTTAGCATATGCATTTCTCCCACACTCATCTTTTGTACATGTTTCTTGACTGCCAACATTCTGTTCCATACAGCATGGTCTTTTGCTTTTTAATTTAGATAACAGAAAACATTAATAATATAACAAGTGTGAATGTACAAGATGGATTTAGACTAAGTAGCAAGATCCTTGAACAACAGTAACATACAAGTGGAGGATGGCTCAAGGGTGGTGGTTGACTGGATAAAAGAACAAAGGCACAAACATTAACAATATAAGCATATTTTAAGGAAATCATATGGTTAAAAAGGGAGGTAAAGTCCACTTTTATTTGGGTGCAAAAATCAGCTAATGGTTTGGTGGATATCCTAGCCAAACAAGGACTAAATAGGGGGCAGTTATTACGTGGTTTATTAAGTGTAGAATGAATATAAAAAACAAAAACTGGGGTTAGGTGGCTGAGATTATACAATGGATTCTGGACATAATTTACATACTCATTCTTTTATTCAGTTCTGTAAAGTTTTAAGTTATCCATCAGCAAAAATGTACAGGATGTATATTCATCAAAAAAAAAAAAAAAGCAGTTATGTTGGGTCAGCATCCTTTAAAATTTATACCACTTATTTAATATTCAGCCTGTTTTTTGGCCTTTTTTTTATAGAAACTGGCACTCTATGCATCCTTTTTTTTTATAATTTTATCCTTATACTTGTAGATTTGCTAAAAAGTGATGACGGTATTGTTCTACAAGATAAGAAAGTGCTTATTCATTTTTCTGCAACCTGTCTGCATCAAGCACTATCCTCTGACTTGGTGATGCATGCCCAACATTTCTATTAAGAAGGATCATGGTTTATAATATATTTCTTATCCATCAGATTACCCAAGTAAATTGATTTTTTATTCCAAGGTACTTAACTGCATTTTTTGATAGTAAATCTAAAAGAAATTTAGACAGCAAAACTTTCTTCCAATAAGCCTTTCCTTAGTATATTGATGATGCAAATACCTTGAAAGTGGGGAAATTTCTGTGGTTCATAGAAATGAATGTTTGACAATTTTAAATATCTTTCAAGAATTTTGTGGTAAATTGGTAATTCTTTTGGAAAAAATGATGGTCGGTTTTTGGTAGTTCTGGTAATATGGGCCATTGCTTGGTAAAATGGTAAAATCTCAGGCTGGCAAACATGAAACCAAGGTTCAAGTTTGAGAGCATCCACTTAATGCTGAAAATGTGGGATGTTATGTCTATCCAGTTCAGCCCTCCCAAGACCCTGAATATCTGGGACCAGCATTGAGTAATAGCCTTTTTAGTTTCATAATGCCAGTGATATTCCAGGTTGTGTTTTAAATGCATCATGCTATTCTCATTTTAATTCAAATGCAAAGTTGATCATTTTTTCATTAGAATCACTAGGTCTGTCTTTAACTTGATCTTGAATTTTTCAGGTTGGAGATTCTGCAGCGCCTGGCTCATATAACACCTATAGAATTAGGCGGGAGGGCTCATCAGTCACAGGATACTGACAATAAATTAGATCAGTGGCTCATGTATTCAATGTTTGCATGCTCTTGTCCACCTGATAGTAGAGAAATTGGTGGTGCAGTTACCAAAGAGCTCTGCCACCTTATTTTTCCTTCTCTCAAATCTGGATCTGAAGCTCATATAGTAAGTTCATATGATCTATTGCATTTTAGAATTACTATTTCAGCATTTATCTTTGATGGGTTGGTAATGTCCCTGCATTTTTTTTAATTCTAAAAAAATTGCTATCATGTGGACTACTTGAGAGGAGAGGAATGCTCCGATCTTCTCTAACGAGGAGAGTGACCTTGAATCTTTACTTGATTTGGTAACCGTTAGAGTTGCACATTGGGTGAATACAAAGGAAGAAATCAAGGGTCTTAACAACAGATGACATTATTAGACACTGGACTAATGTGGCCCTCCCCTATGCCAACTTTTTATCATGCAAGGCGTGAGGTGTGCTTCAATGTTTCATCCTCTGAGGGTGGAGATGGAAGGAGGTTACAGGTTGTTACAGGATGCATGAGGTGGTTTCAAACCTTGCATGGAATTAGGTCATTAGATCAGAGAAGCTATATTTTTGGTCTGCAACTTGAATATCTCATTCAAGTGGGGTCATTCTAGATGCACTAATAGAGGCTTTAAAGATTTTTGCTCACAGTTTTTGGGGTGTTGGGAAGAGACTAGGGATTCTAGATGCATGTCTGGTAGGAGACGGGATCTGCTCCTCACAAATGGGCGCCTCACATGCACATCCACCGTGCATTGAGAACATCTCCCGTGAATAATAATTGATAAGTATGGGAGATGTTCCCAGTGCATGGTAGGATGTGCGTGTGAGGCGCCTGTGAGGCACCAGGTGTGAGGGCCTAAGCCGGGTTGTGAAGTAGAGGGCCTAAGCCGAGCAGGGCATCCAGGCTTGCCCGCGTAAGTTAATAAAATTATTTAAAAAAAACCTTAAAACTTAAATCTATTTTATATTTCATATTTACAAAAAATTATATATAAATTTTATTATACATATATTAACATATTAATATATGGGTTCGACTATGATACCGGAAAGACATGATATTGAAAAAATGTGTGACCAATCAATCAGTATCATAAATGTTTTAACCAATCATGTGATATTTATCAAAATTCAATGGGTGGGTTTTGATTGGTCAAGACTCTTCCAGTACCATGTCCTTCCAGGATCATAGATTTTCCCTTAATATGAATATATACATTGTTGTCATCATCATCATTCAAGCCTTACCCCAATTATATGGGGTCGACTACATGAGTCCAGTTTCACCATTCTATCCTGTTTAAAGCCATATCCATTATCACGTTATTGGTGCTTAAAGACTTCTAACCTAGTCCTTTTGGTCTACCACTAACCCTTCTAGCCCCTTCAACTTGCAACAAATCACTTCTTATGGTGTTGTTGATGGCTTCTATGCATGTGACCAAACCCCCCTGAGTCTACTTTCTCTCATTCTATCACCTATTGGGGCTATTCCTATGTTCCTTCGAATGACTTCGTTTCGGATCTTATCCTTTCTAGTTTTCCCACTCATCAATCTCAGAATAAACATTTCTTCCACACTCATTTTTTGGGCATGTTTTTGACTGCCCATACAACATACTGGCCTTAAACTGTTTTTATAAAATTTTCCTTTTGATGTAAGCAGTATTTGTCTATTACATAAAACTCCAGATGCACCCTTCCATTTTGCCCATCTTTCTCCAATTCTATGGGTGACATCCTCCTCAATCTCTCCCTTGTTATGAATTATCAAACCAAGTTACCGAAAAAGGCCACATTGAGTTATCTCTTGGTCTCCAATCCTAAGTGTACCCCAATTCGCACCAATGTTTTAAAAACTGACTGGTGCTGAACCATTTTTGCCTCTGGGTCATGGCTCAGCAGTTCAACCATATGTATGTATGTATTATATCATTTAAATAATGTATAATTATATTTTACATGTAATATATGTATTATTTTATGTTTAATTTACAGTTTTTATTTCGGCTTTTAATTGGGATTTGAGGCCAAAAGGGGCTTTTATTTAATGTCTTACAATAGGAATTTTTCAATGCCAAAGTTGCTTGAAAAATCTGGGAAAATGTCTACTTCAAACTGAAAAGAATAGTGGCTGTTTGATGATTCCTTTTTTGTTTTTCTGTTTACTCATTTCTTCTTTTCAGCATGCAGCTACCATGGCTCTGGGTCATTCACATTTAGAAGTCTGCGAAATCATGTTCAGCGAGCTTGCATCTTTTGTTGAAGAGGTCTCACTGGAAACAGAAGGAAAACCAAAATGGAAGACAGGATTAATGGTAGAGCCCTAAGATATCCTGTACTTTCATCAAAGAGATCTTTAGTCTCAAGAAAAGAAAGCTTGTTGGTTGTTACTAATTAAAAAAACAGAAAGCTTATTACAATATTTTACAATTACATATGGTTTAATATCTTTATTTCTTTAAAACTTAAAATATATTTCAATTCACATAGGCAAGTGCGTGCTTCTAATCTGGTAGATGTGCATGGAAAGATTAGATTCTTTGGAGTCACTTGCACACATAAAATTGACTCCTGTTATGAATGCAGATTCAAAAAGCCCGCCGTGAGGAACTTCGTGTTCACATTGCAAATATATACCGTACTGTTGCTGAGAACATATGGCCTGGGATGCTGAGTCGGAAACCAATTCTTCGTCTTCATTATTTGAACTTCATTAAAGAAACAACCAGGCAGATTATAACTGCACCCCCTGAGAGCTTTCAAGAAATGCAACCTTTCCGTTTTGCATTAGCTTCTGTTCTAAGATTGCTAGCCCCTGAGTTTGTAGAGTCAAGATCAGAGAAATTTGATGTCAAAACTCGTAAGCGATTGTTTGATCTTCTTCTCTCTTGGTGTGATGAAATGGGTAGTACATGGGGTCAAGAAACTGTCAGTGATTACCGCCGTGAAATCGAACGTTACAAGGCAACTCAGCACAGCCGTTTAAAGGATGCAGTAGACAAAGTCTCATTTGATAAAGAAGTAAGTGAGCAAGTTGAGGCAATTCAGTGGGCCTCTATGAATGCCATGGCTTCACTACTCTACGGGCCATGCTTTGATGACAATGCAAGAAAGATGAGTGGTCGGGTGATTTCATGGATTAACAGTTTGTTCATTGAGCCAGCACCTAAGGCACCTTCTGATCCAAAAACCCCATCTTATTCGAAATTTATGGGGGATGGAGGTCGTTCTGCTGCTGGACGTGATCGACAAAGGACTAGTCACCTCCGTGTTTTCCTGGCAAAATTGGCATTGAAGAATATTCTGCAGACAAATTTGGACCTATTTCCTGCCTGCATTGACCAGGTGGTTCCATTAACCTTTTTTTTTTTTTTTTTTTTTTTTCTTAATGACACCCTTTACAACTAGCAGTTTCCTTGATTAATGCATCCTCTGAAGGTGTAAACCCATCATCACTGTATCTTGTTACATCTTATTCCTGTTGTTACCTTAATTAAAATAATACACTAACACCATCTTTACGAAGGAAATAATTGGCATTGTATTTCTTGACAGTGCTACTATTCAGACACTGCCATAGCTAATGGCTATTTCAGTGTGCTTGCTGAAGTCTACATGCGCCAAGAGATCCCAAAATGTGAAACTCAGAGACTTCTAAGCTTGATTCTCTACAAGGTGGTGGATCCATTGAGACAAATCCGTGATGATGCTCTTCAGATGCTTGAGACACTCTCTGTCCGTGAGTGGGCTGAGGAGGGCACTGATGGTTCAGGTCGATATAGAGCTGCAGTTGTTGGTGACCTCCCCGACTCCTATCAGCAGTTCCAGTACAAGCTCTCATGCAAACTTGCCAAGGATCACCCAGATCTGAGCCAGCTCCTCTGTGAGGAGATCATGCAGCGACAACTCGATGCCGTAGACATAATTGCACAGCATCAGGTCTTAACATGCATGGCACCCTGGATTGAGAACCTAAACTTCTGGAAACTTAAGGACTCAGGTTGGAGTGAAAGATTATTAAAAAGCCTTTACTATGTAACATGGCGGCACGGAGATCAGTTTCCTGATGAAATCGAAAAGTTATGGAGCACACTTGCTTGCAAGCCCAAGAATATCAGTCCCATTCTTGATTTCTTGATCACCAAGGGAATGGAAGATTGTGATTCAAGTGCATCTGCTGAAATAAGTGGAGCTTTTGCAGCATATTTTTCAGTTGCCAAACGCGTAAGTTTGTACCTCGCAAGGATATGCCCACAGCGCACAATTGATCACTTGGTTTACCAGTTGTCTCAGCGGATGCTGGAGGATAGCGTAGAGCCGGTTAGACTAAGTGCAAGTAGAGGAGATGGTTCTGGGAATTTTGTGTTGGAGTTCTCCCAGGGGCCTACACTGATGCAACAAATTGCATCAATTTTGGACACCCAACCACACATGTCACCATTGCTCGTACGGGGTTCTCTTGATATCCCAGTTAAGAATCCAGGTGGGAGTGTTAGCTGGCGGACTGCAGCTGTGACAGGATGGAGCATTTCAGGGCCACCAAGTCCAAATCCAATGTCTTCCGAGATGAACATTGGTCCTGTTGCTAGTAGCCGCTCAGCACAGCTCCTTCCAGCAGCATTTGTAAACATGTCAGGGCCGTTGATGGGGGGCCGAAACTCAACGGGTACCTTGCGGAGTCGCCATGTTTCCCGAGACAGCTCTTCTACAGACCATCTACTTGACACACCACATTCTGGGGAAGATGGGTTGCTTTCTGCCAGTGGGTTGCATGGGATCAATGTTGGAGACATCCAGTCAGCTTTGCAGGGCCACCAGCAGCACTCGCTTACTCATGCTGATATAGCATTGATTCTACTTGCAGAGATTGCTTACGAGAATGATGAGGATTTCCGTGAGCACCTTCCTTTGCTCTTTCATGTCATGTTTGTCTCAATGGACAGCTCTGAAGATATTGTTCTTGAGCACTCCCAGCGCTTGCTTGTTAACCTGCTATACTCACTCGCCGGTCGGCACTTGGAGCTATATGGGGTCGAGGAAAGTGATGGAGAGAATAGACAGCAGGTTGTAAGCCTGATCAAGTACGTCCAATCAAAGCGTGGGAGCTTGATGTGGGAGAATGAAGATCCCACACTTACGCGGACTGAGCTCCCTAGTGCAGCACTCCTATCAGCTCTAGTGCAGAGCATGGTTGATGCCATCTTCTTCCAAGGTGATCTCCGAGAGACTTGGGGTGCAGAGGCTCTTAAATGGGCAATGGAGTGCACATCCAGGCACCTAGCATGCCGCTCACACCAAATTTACCGTGCATTACGACCCAGAGTGACAAGTGACGCATGTGTCTCTCTCCTTCGGTGTCTCCATAGGTGCCTTGGGAACCCTGTGCCGCCAGTCCTGGGCTTCGCCATGGAGATTCTGTTGACATTACAAGTGATGGTGGAAAACATGGAACCAGAAAAGGTGATACTCTTTCCGCAGCTCTTCTGGGGTTGTGTGGCAATGATGCACACAGATTTTGTGCATGTGTACTGCCAGGTGCTTGAGCTTTTTGGTCGTGTGATTGATCGACTCTCGTTTCGGGACAGAACAACCGAGAATGTGCTCCTCTCAAGCATGCCCCGTGATGAGCTTGATACCGGCAACTGTGACAAAGTGGAGCTTCAACGTCTAGAATCAAGGATTGGCTATGAATCTCCACCGGTGTATGGAAAAGTGCCTAATTTCGAAGGTGTACAACCTCTCGTTCTTAAAGGTCTCGTGTCAACAGTCAGCCATGGATTCTCTATCGAGGTTCTCTCAAGGATCACAGTGCACTCGTGTGACTCCATATTCGGGGATGCTGAGACACGACTCCTGATGCAGATAACTGGTTTGCTTCCTTGGCTCTGCTTACAACTCAGTAAGGATTCACAACTCGGTAAGGATTCAGCCAATGGACCCGCCTCGCCGCTGCAACAGCAGTACCAGAAGGCTTGCTCTGTTGCCTCCAATATTGCAAATTGGTGCCGGGCAAAATCGTTGAATGAATTGGCAACTGTATTTCTGGCTTACTCCCGTGGTGAAATCACTTCCATCGCTAACCTCCTTGCTTCTGTGTCGCCACCGGTGTGTGCTGAGTGGTTCCCAAAGCACTCAGCACTAGCATTTGGACACTTGTTGAAGCTCCTGGAGAAGGGTCCAGTTGAGTATCAGCGTGTGATACTGCTAATGCTCAAGGCTTTGCTCCAGCACACAACCATGGATGATGCCCAGAGCCCTCAAGTGTATGCCGCTGTGTCACAGCTGGTGGAGAGCTCATTGTGTACCGAGGCACTGAGCGTACTGGAAGCCCTTCTACAGAGCTGTAGCTCATCTACCGCCGCCGCCTCCTACCAACATGAACTAGGATCTTTTGAGAATGGATTTGGTGGAATCGAGGAGAGGATGATGAGTGGCCCCCAAAGCCCATTTAAAGGTCGGTGCTGCCCATTACTATTCCCTATGGGATCATTGTTTGGTGGTGGCTCAATATCCGTAACGCACGGCAGTGCAACGGAATCTGGTCCATCTGCCAAGGGGGCAGCTTTGCAAAATACACGCGTGATTCTTGGACGAGTGCTTGACAATTGCCCTCTTGGGAGGAGGAGGGACTACAGAAGGCTCGTTCCTTTTGTAACCAGTATTGGTATTAGGTGATCTTCCAATTTATTTGTCTCTTTATTTTTTTAATCCTATTAATTCTATCTCTCTCTCTCATTTGTTTGCAGCAGTGGGGGACTGTAAATAGATATTGCAAGAAGAGTGGTGTTTGTAGTATATGAAATCATCTTTTTTTCCTTCCCTAAATAAAATAAAAGCGTTGCAGCAATCTCTCCGCCTAGTCGAAAGATGTAAAGTAAGGATAATTTATTTCGTTTTTAGGGTTTTTAGAGAGAGAAAATTGGTCAATAGAACTTTGATTTTCATTGACCAATGTATCTTTTTTTTATATTTATGTGAAATTCTTTCCAGTAAGTAATGCCCATCTTTTAGATGAATAATTTTCTTACATTGAACAAAGTTGTCTCAACACTTGGATGGAACAAAATCATCCCTTTTAATATTTGTTTTTTGTGATTAAAATGATCGATTATCTTATTGACCTGGAAAATAAAACAATATGGATGAATACAATTATTGAGATAAATACATTTATCTTACCTAAGTAGATAACTTACAAAAAAACAAACAGGGCCTAAAAATTGAAGAATAAGTGCTCATTTGGGGAGAGTTGAAGCACAGAGTTTTACATGCACAGTTTTTAAGCCATGTTTGGTGAAATATCTCGAGAGCCCAAATCAGCTATCATTCATTTAAAATGGAAACACTTTTAGCAAGATGAATGAACGTTGATGTATGTAATGACTCCAAAACCTTGTGATTGACAAAGTTTTTCATGTCCTAATCCTATCGAGATTTTCCGACACGGTCTTCATTCTGGGTCTCACCTCTGGATCGGCCTCCGTGCATGCAAGGGCCACATGGAACACGGCGAGCACCTCTTTCTTTGCGAGTACTTCCTTGAGCAGCATTGGGTCCGCCATCTGTGCCAGCGGACTCTCCTCTTCAAATCCCTTCCTCACCCATCTCACCAGATCCGGAACATCGGGTCCTGTTAATGTGGTAGAGGATGGGAATTCTGGAGACTTTCCGGTCAACATTTCGAGTAACACAACCCCAAACGAGTAAACATCCCACTTCTGGCCCGGGCGACTACCGGGGACCCGAGCTTCAGGGGCCCTATAAGAATTGTTAGATCGTTCGGTTTGGGAGGGCTTGATATAAGGGAGGGCCCCACCCATAAGGCCACCACCACCGGATGAGCTGGGGTCGTTGCCGGTGATGCTGGTCAAGCGGTTGAGTCCAAAATCGGAGATGTATGGATGGAAATCCGCGTCAAGTAGGATATTTGAAGGCTTAATGTCTCCGTGTACAAATTTACGCGGGCTGCACTCGTGGAGGTAGGCCAGGCCCCGAGCCGTTCCCTTGGCAATCTTCAACCGATTCGACCACGACAAACTCCCTGTTGGTTGGCCAGATCTCCCTGGAACATAGTTTAAAACAATAATAACACAAGGAAAAAAGAATCATCACGATTGATCCATTAAACTGGAGATTTGGTATTTTGGTTTGAAGGAAAAAGTTAGGGAGAGGAATGGAAAAGGTACGGAAACTTATCTATCCTTCCTTTTCTTACATTTTCATTCAAACCAAACACAGCAGAGAATTCTTACATTTTCATTGATGACATTTTACTCTAAATCAGAAAATGATCGTTGCTTTTTTGAAAATGGTGATAGGTAGAAGAGAGTAAAGGTTTGTGTCAATAAAATTGATATAGTTTTTATATCGATTATCGATATAAAACTTCAGAGTTGAATCAAAAAATGATCATTGTTTTTTTTTTTTGCAGCAAAAAAAGACATCTTATATCTATTATAAGACGTAAAATTACATTCCATTTAAAGTTTAAACGTACGCAAAATTAAACCAAAATATGATTTTATATCGATAATTATACTCTCTTTTTAAATACATACAAAACCAAATCGATGTTAAATTTACATTGGTTCTTAATTTACATCACATTCAATTCAAATACAGCCTAATGAATTACTCCCTCTAAAGTGCAAATGTACATTGGAAATATCTTCCAAGTTCCAAGGGTACCATGCAAGTAGGGCTTGGGTAGGAGATCCGAACTCTCAATTAGTGGGTGGCTGTAGACTGTAGTGTAAGTCACGTTATGCAGCGTGAACCTAGAACGGTGATTTGAAGTCCTTAACCCCATTACCAAGAGTTTTGATCCCATCTACAAATGCGAATGGCTTGTTTTTGCCTAATATGCAAAGAACAATAAACCTTTTTTTCTGCTTTTCTTTTTAAAAAATTCCCCTTCTGAAAAGAGGAAAAAGGGAAAAGGAAAAGAAACTTTAGCAAAGCCACTTTACTCCATGCAACAAAGCAAACAACATCGAATATACAAATTCTGAGATGCACTTTGTTTTGGAATAGAATATAAAGAGCAGCAAACAGATCGAATCAGATTAGATATACATAGATACAGGTTTTATTAATTTGAACCAGTACCTTATCTATCGAATTTACGTCAGATTTGAATTGAATATTGAATAGTATAAATAAACTAAATTTAAAATATTATAATATTATATAATAGTAATAAAATGAACTAAAAGCAACTGATATTTGGCTTAAACGACTTTGATGATTCTTTTTTTATGAATAAAATTAGAATATCGTTATATAAAACTTGAACCTATAAAAATTTAATAAAAGCTTAACATTCAAATCAGCTTTAGTAATAAATATAATATACATTTTAAGCAAGTACAAATGAATCGAATTGGGTTCACCTTGGGAAGAATTCAGATTGGATACCATTTGCAAGATATATAAATTTAGAATCTAGGATTTACGGTTTAAAATTTATGATCTCATATAAAAACCAAGAGGTCGTCGGATGAGCCTTGTTTCATACACTTATGTATTACTATTCATGGGGAGATATTCCCAGTACATGGTAGGATGTTATGTTCTGCAAGGTCAGTGTGAAGTGCACTACGTGTGGAGCAAATCACAATTCAATTGCAACATCAATGTATTATTTGACAGTTTGGGCTGTCAAGAGGCTCTTTCTGCATGACACATCAATCCACCGGGCAGTTAATCCACACTGCTTAGGGAGAGAGAATCCATATCACTTATATATATATATTATATTGGAATAGAGGTGTAAAATGGGCCATGTCGTGTTGGCCCTTGGGTCGTCTCGAGCCGTGTCACCTTCTCCTATGATAACTTGGGGGGTCGGCCTAACATAGCCCATGGCCCAAACTTATTTAGGCCCGTGCCATGCAACAAGTCGGTCAATGGATTGAATCAAAGCTATTTATTTAAAAAAAATGAAATAAAATAACTTAAAATTTTAATTTTTATATGAATTTTGATGTATACAATTACTTATATATACAATAATTAAATAAATAGGTATAATAAAATTAAAAACAATTGTTTATTTTATCAATATATTATATACTATATATTATTATATAATTATAATTTATATAATATATTATATAAAATATATAAACAATATATATGGGTCGTACTGGGCCAGGTTGCGGGCTGGGCTATACTGGCATACGGGTCACAGGCGGCACGGCCCGTTTGATCATGTTCTACCGGCTCGACCCACGGACATAAAACCCTATGCCTAATACAGCACACACGATCGTACCAAGCCTAATACGGCTCACGAACCGTGGCCAGGCCGGCCGCAGGCAACAAGATCCTATTTACACCTCTATGTTGGAAGGGTGGTGGAACCGTGAAGTTGGAACGTATTTTATTACAGGAGAGAGCCATGTTCACAGAAAGACACTCCATGGATACTCATAATCCTACACGGTCTTCACTTCGTCCAAATTATGGTACGAGAACCACTATATTAAGAGGGGATATTGGAAATCAATCATGATATGGCATGTCATATCATTCTGATAAACCCACGTGTACGGAGATGATGTCATCAATCATGATTTTAGAAGATTTACTCAGCGCGAATGTTCCCTCATGATCATTCCCTTGACCCACCCGGCTCACCCAGTCTGATGACTCTGATCCGGTGTCCCTATTAACAAATATATAGGGAGAATAATGACAGTTCCCATATATATCCCTCCACACGTTTAACTTGATTGCACACTTACCAGTCAGGAGGACGATAGGGGTCCTATATAGAATGAAAAAATTGAGGAGTGCCGAGTGCAGAACCGAAAACTCAAGAAACGATAAAAAAAAAAAAAATGAGACAACATTAAAAGATCGTAGGGCCACAACGACCCCATCTCTTCAATCTATTCAACCCGGGGGAGATCCTAAATGTGGGCCACAACAAACAGCAATGCCCAAGCCCATCTTATATAGTGTCCAGCTCCTGCGAGGGAGTATATAGATCGTAATTAATCTGTAAATATCTCATTTCTTCCCGTTATCAAAAGGATCAATCACCATTAAAGGAGATCGATCAACCGTCTCAATACTAACCGCGTTCTATATCTAATATCCAATGGCTATATTCTCTCTTGCATAGCGCTTCGTATGAAAGGATCTAGGACGTATGTTAATATTACCATATGAGGATCTGCTGCACTTGCATTTAATCGTTGACACATGTCTCATTACACGTGTGATGAAACACTTGTCACAAACTAAATGCAATTGTACATAAGTGCAGCAGATCCAGACTCGAGAGAGTCTAAACTCAAAAAACTAAAAATGGAAAAAAGTTGGGGAAGAACTCACCACGAAGAGCCGAAGCCAAGTTGCCATTAGAGATGAAATCAGAGATGAGAAGCTTTTCATCAGAAACCCAATAATAAGCCCTTAATCTCACAATATTGGGGTGCTTAACCCGTCCGATTGCCTGTATCTCCGCTGCAAATTCTTTATACTTCTGCCCTCCACCTTCACCTAATCTCCTCACCGCCACCGGAATTCCATTGCCCAACACCACCTTGTACACGATCCCCAATCCGCTTTTACCCAAAACATAAGCCGACGATCTCAGAAGCTCATCCAGTTCGAACGTGAACCCTTTATCGATAGCAACTAGACCACCTTCTCCTCCTTCATTACCTCCTGCCTTCTCATCAGACTCCAGTTCCGAATCGTAGTTGCTCAGGAATGCATTCCAACAAGAGCATGAAAACAATTTTTTGCCTTCACCTCCACCGCCCAACTTTCCTTTACTGGTGCAGCTGCAACTTTTTGAATCTTTTCTTTTCCAATATACATAGACGATGAGCAAACCGACTACTGCGACTCCGGCGGCATATGACACCACAATTAAGATTATTAAACTTGCTTTCAATCCTTTTTTTGGATTAGTATCAAATACCGCTGTCGGATTTTGGTTCACTGAGGTGTTCTTTTGGGGATTCCCGCTGCAAGGTTTCCGGAGAGGAAATCCACACAAGGAGGGATTGTCGAGGAATGCGGTCGGGCCTTGATTTGCAAAAGTTCCAGTCTGAGGGATTTCTCCGGTGAGGTTGTTATGCCTCAGATCGAAGCTTACCGTCACCGGCAATCTTCCAAGTGATGCCGGGATCACACCAGAGAAATGATTGAATGACAGGTTTAGAGTTCTGGAGAGCGATTTCAAATCGCCAAGATCCGCCGGGATAGTTCCATTGAATTCGTTCGATGACAGATCGAGCTTAACCAAGTTCTCCAGCTTGGGCCAAATTCCATCCGGGATCTCTCCAGAAAACTTATTGCTGGCCAGAACAAGCCGCTGCAACTGACGGCATTTGCCCAGGTCTCTAGGAATGGATCCTGAAAGCGAATTTTGAGAAAGATCGAGGTTCTGAAGCCGAGGAAGAATGCAAGTCGAAGGGGGAAGCGGACCAGAGAGGTTATTACCGTAAAGAAAGATGCTGCGGAGGGACGTAGCGTTGAAGAGCTGAAGGGGTATAGAACCGTAAAACCTGTTGCCGTGGAGGTTGAGACGTCGAAGAAAGACGAGAGTACCGAGCTCAGACGGAATGTATCCTTGGAGATTCAGTCCGGAGAGGGAGATTCCGACGACACGAGGATCGGAGAATCCAGTAACGTTGATACAGGAAATTCCAGACCAGTTGCATGGGTCATTGTCCTGTTCGTTCCAGTTGGAAAAGGCGGAGGCATGCGACGTTTGATCAACGGCAGACTTTAAAGCGAGAAGGGAGAGACCGTCGGGAGATAGAGAAAAGGTAAGATTTGCGTGGAGCTGCAGAATGAGAAAGAAGAGTGGAAAGAGCTTCATTTTGGTGTTCGATTCTGCAGAGATAATATTGAAAAGTCAAGAGTCTCAGCGTTTCAAGTTTCCCAGAGAGACAGAGAGAGAGAAAGAAAGAACCAAACGTCTACGACGACGACGGCGCAGCTCTGGCCTGTGTGTGTGTGTGCTGTTGCCGGTGGCATTTAACACAAAAAAAAAGAAAACAGAGAGATTTGATTGCTGGGTCCCACTTCCCGCCAAAAAGACTTCAATGGAAAGGGAGTAGAGGAAAAGCAAAGCTAAGCCAACTAGCCAAGCCAAGTGGAAGTGGCCAGTGGGGGTTGAATTGATAATAAATTACTAAAAATGCCACTCAAATAGTGAAATTATCGGTATTTCTGTACGATCGAACTGGAAACAAAAATTGGTTTGTTGATTGAGGTTCCAACCAGAACCGGTCGGACCAGTAAAGGGTCTGGGGCCGAATAACTTGAAAGCTGTAGAACATGAGGATTCGAGAGATGTTCTCGATGTGCGGCTGAAGCATCTTGTGGGTAATTACTCCATACATGGTCGGAGCTGAGGCCTGATTCTTCAGACATGGCCAGATGGTAAATTATCGGGCCTCCGGACCCGAGTTCGGCTTCTATCAGGGCAACTCGATGCTCGCACCGTTCCAGTAACCCCTTTTGCATTGGAAATATCTCCCCCTTGAAATAAATCACATAATCACGGAAATATTTTCAATGTAAGACTGTAAAGCTTGTTGGAACGGGCTTTGCCCTGACCCAAGCCAGACTCGACGGACCCACTATTGGTTCTGTCTTCTGTGTAGCCAGATACAAGGCATAATTCAAATCAATTGTGAATTTGACGGTGGCTCGTTTATTCGTTGATAAGTCTATCCATCCATATTAGATGCTTGATTACTTTTACACGTACAATAAAACTTTATGTATTATTGTGACTGTTGGACAGTTGGACTCGTATCCCCACACGTACAAGTACGGATCCATCCGATGCAGAATTCTGAATTCCAGCCCCTTACTATTAACCCTCTCACCCCCTATAAATCACATTCTGCTCTTAAATTTGGCATTAATTTACGGTCAGGATACATTCCTCCTATACTACGGGGTTATAAAATTCTGATCTGAGCTGATTGCTCACTCTCTCGGCAAATAATTATCGGTATACCTAAAAAAGGACTTTTATGGTGTAAAAATGATGTTTATTATGATGAAATTACCTATGTACCCCACACTTGAGTCCCTCTGTAATGTGTTATATGTAATAAAAAAAACGATGAATCTTTTTTGGGGGTAAATATAGAGAAGTATGTGTACTTTGCAACAGAGAACTACCCTATTTTTCATATTCCAATACCCTGTTCTCAGTTTTTTAATCTTTTATGAAATCATTTTGCCCTTTACTACATTCTATCTCTTGCAACTCTCCATCTCTTAATAAAAGGAGAGACTAAAATGGTCCATAAATTTTCAAGACCGATGAAATGAGCAGGGTGTTGGAATCTGAAAGTACAGCATAGATCCCTGTCGTAAATGAAAGTTCAAATACCTTAGAATAAGTGAATAACTACTCCAAAAGCATATGATAGTTCTCTTTTTTTTTGTGAAAAAATTGAGATATATCGGATACCCTCCCCCCCTGTTTTGAGATATAGGGAATGTTTGGAAGTGTGGCCTTTTTTCTGATAAAAACGGTGCCACATCGGATCCACATAGGCGATTCAACAAACACCCACATACATGATTGTTTGGTTCAAGCGTTTTTTTTGAAAAAACTCAGAAAAATTGGCATGCCTCGTAAATCAAGACCCAACCGTTGCATGAAACGTCAAATTTGACATCCCATGCTTCGATGAACCGTTGCCCCCAACGGTTGATTGATATGGTGAATACATGGCAGAATAACAATGATGAAACTCACCTTACTTTAATATAGTGTTGCTCACTGCCTACGTGGTAGAAACACTTCCAAACATATCAAGACGTTTTTTTTGTGAAAATAGGTCTAGCATGCATGAACATTTTTTTTTTGAAAATCAGTCCCAAAAAACGCCCACGCTTCCAAACACCATCACAATTAGCCGAACACTAACAGCGGGCTATAAAACCAATCATAACACCCCACAGCAGTGATTAAAATACATGGATCCATGCATTTTATGACCGGCTTGGGAGCATTATCATTGGTTCTACAACCTGATACGAAATAGCGATCTAGTTCAGTTTTGGTCAGTGCAATGCCTGTTCAAACAGCCTTTACAGCCTTGCATTGAAAATATCCCTGTACTTATGTGCGTTATTTTATAAGAGATATTCTCAATGGAAGGTGCAAAAGGCTGTTCAAACGGTGTGAGCACGGGCTCGCACTGACCAAAGCCAAACTCGTAGCGATCCCAATGAAAAAATAATATACATTTGTAAATAATACACGTGATGAGACACCTGTCACACTGAATGGAAGTGTAGGAAAAATGTTCAGGAAAACCGGAGTCGTGAAATGGCATAAACCACAAATGCATCCCCTACATGTAAAAAGAGTCAAAAGGAAAGGAATACCAAGTGGCTAATGATGAATGCTCTATAATAGATGTTTCTTCATCAAATTAATGGGACAGTTGGGGTTAGAAGTGGAGAGGATTAATCAATAAATTTATAGAGACATCTCTTTCACGTACCCAACTCCACCGTCTTGAACTAATGATCCCCCCCCCCCCCCCCCCCCCCCTCATCCACACTTCAATTTCACACTGCACTTTCTTTTTCTTTTTCTTTTTTTTTTATTTTTCCTGCGTAAAAGTTTCTCATTGGAACAGATATTTGTTTAGGTGATACCGTTTATTATGAGTAGGGATAGAGAAGATGGTGCATGATAAAGGGGTCTCACACTCTCAAATCTCAATCATGAAATGCATGCTTAGAAGCTACAATAACTAGAATAAAGAGTTTACTTGTGTTTCTACAAGAAAACTACATGTGATAGTTGAATGCTTTAATTATAGTATCGTTTTAATCCCTCCAGCCAGTATCGCCACTTCTGATGGGTCCACTAGTTCTCATAGCCGAGACCGGATTCAGTCTGCTGACCCTGCTAGTCTGCTCCTTGATTCCAATTTTACAGAAAACTAACAGGGTCGCACCCGTTTCTTTCCTGATATCCAAATTCCAATATCTGATGTAAAAACCTTGGAAATTGTGCCAGAAAGCAATTAGATTCAGTTTTCACTGCCCAGAGTTTCAAAAACAGCTTTTTTTCAGGGGAAAAAGGTAATAAATCATCATTATCAAAACAGTTTGCAGGATGTTGGCCTTGGATACCACCAGGTCCACCACCTAAAAATACTGTGTTATGGCAATTTCTGATAATCCACATGGTAAAACGACTCACTGTACCCAGCATCCCACAGCCTCACAACTATTCGATGGGTCTTAATGGGCCTGCCAGTTCGCCAATGGCACCCCTGCACGTTTCCAAACAGCCCCTAATTCCGCCCCAAGGCCCAAAAGATACAATAACATGAGAATTCTGAAGGAGGCAGACTCGATGTTTATCACGCTATGTAAAAGAAGGGATCAACTCTTTTCCTCCGTAAGGCCTAAGGGAGTGAAGCATTGGGAAATGTTTGGACTGATGACAAGAATAAGAGTAGATAATACAGAAGACAATACATTTGAACGGCAAGTTAACAGAGATGGAATTCATTGATAATCAAGTGCAAACTATGGGCATTTACTGAAATCTCAGGTATCTTGAAATAGTGTAACTGGAGAACCCAGATGGACCAAGGAGCTCTTGTCTTGAAAGCAAATAAGAGAACCCATACATCTTTTTACCAAATATATCTAGCAAAAGATGCTTTGACTGAGATCTCCACTGGAATTACCAAAAAAAAAGGACTCCACAGGCAAACATGCTCAAGCTCCAGTCACCTCCACCATTTCCTGTTCCACAGTGCCTGGGCTGACTGGGTAGTATTTAAAGTGGAGTTCCCCAACATCATCACCGGATAGCTTCTTCCATCCATTTGGTCCCACATAATAAACTGATTAAAGGGGAAAAAAGAAAGTTGAACTTCCAAGTAAGTGCTTACATGCAGGTAACACACACACGAGAGAGAGAGAGAGAGAGAGAGAGAGCATACCACTGGCAACTCCACCACTAGCTCCATCACGGAACGTTGCGTGATAAATAGCTCGGCGAGCCAATTCAGCAGCTTCTTCTATTGACATATCGTAACGGTATCTGTGAACCAAGAATAAAATTACAAGAAAAATGAGATATCAAACTTACTATAAAGCAAACAACCAATGGATCAACAAAACAAAAGGCATACCCATTATCCAATACACCATAAGCATATGGTGAACCAGATCCAACTGAAAACCGTGTTCCTTTCAGTCTTCCCCCTTCACTGTCCACATAATACAATCCAGGACCCTAAAAGGCAATAGAAGATACAAGTTTTAAAGAGCCAAATTGGATAAAAACATTATAGCATCGCTGAATAAGATCATTACCGTCTCATCCCATCCAGCAATCATGGTCCCAACAGACAGACCCATTCCACGATATGAGTACAGAATGTTTGCCAACAGCTTTGAAGCCCCTGTGACTGAAATCCTTCTCTTGTTTGCCAGCTCATGTAATCGGCACTAAAATCAAAAGTTGAATCACAAAAATCTTTCAATGCTAGAAAACTTGTGTAGAACAACATCATTCATCAGAAAAACAGAGTATAAAGATCCATGAGCTAGTTCATTGATTTTTATAGCACTCTGTAACATCTATAATCTAAAGCATTAAATAGAGTAGTTGCTAGAGCAAAAATATGGACATTTGGCACAAGTTTAGGGTATTCAGGATCACCAGTTTGCAATTGCTGGTTCCCAACTACAAGATTTCAATTATCAAAAAGCAAAACAGAAACATCTGAGTTTACACCAAACAGTTATAGATAACTATCTAAAAGAATGGAATATTGCAGGATTGCTGCAATAACAGATGCACTACTTATGAATACAACCAACACTATTTAATTAAAAAAAATTATTGCAAATTATGTTAAATTTATCAAGTATCACAAACACAATTCATTTGCAATTTTATCCTAAGAACCAGAAAATTTTAGCTGCATATAACTGACAAGAAGAATCCCAAGTATCGTGTCAGTATCCATGCCAGATGTGAAGAATTGCAAAAATCTGTTAGATAGGATACAAGGAGTCGCAATTTTTTTTTTTTGCTTCAAAATTCAGTTACACTGACACAGCATGGATAAGGTATCAGACATGGAACTTGCACTAAAAACTAGTAAGTCTCCAACATGGACATGGACATGGAGCCCAACTTTAAGTAATGACTCATGGGTGAATTTCGACTGCCTGAAAACATCCAAAATTCCACTGATGCAACATGGCGATATGACATTGAACAAAACTTTTGCACTGGTGAAACACCTCATAATATGGGTCTAGAACAAAAACCACAGAAGTTAAATGTTCCTAACCATCTGATCAATACCCCACTTTTGGATCTTATAACTAGTAGATAATATGAATTCACGGTATGGTTCTTCAATACTTCCAATGGAGATGGAGTTGAACATTAGAATTAGATAAAGAAAGAAGCTAAACCAAAATCAAACCAATATAGCTAATGTGTTGATCTCAATTCATTTAAACTACATTGTAATGAAAACTTGGCTCTGACTTTGTTATAATTAATCTCAATCACAAAAACTATTAACTTATTACCCTGATAATTAAAATGAGATGGTGCATATTTATGGAAAGGGATGCACAAGTTTTAGGGAAGAAAGCTTTTTATGCAAGGCACCCACCTTACAAACACCATAATAAACTATGGCTGTCAAAAAGTTGATTCAGATAGGATATACACAGAACCAAATTTATGGATAGGATTGCAAAGGAGTCTGATTTTAATGAGCAGAAAAACTAGAAAAGATAAGATCAGGAATGAAGTCATCTGTAGGAATCTAAGAGTGGCCCCAATAGGTGATAAAATGAGAGAAAGTAGACTAAGATGGTTTGGCCATGTGCACAGAATACCATCAACAGCACCAGTTAGAAGTGATTTGTTACAAGTTGAAGGGGCTAGAAGGGCTAGGGGTAGACCAAAAAGGACAGGGGTAGAAGTTGTAAGAAATGAATTAAGCACTAATAATTCAACCATGGATATGGCTTTAAATGGAACGGATTGGTGAAACAGGATTCTTGTAGCCGACCCCATATAGTTGGGGTAAGGCATGGATTTTGGGACCAACATTGGGTAATGGTATTTTCTACTTTTGGACCCATATCCAGCTAATTAGATTAGACCAAATCATGATCCAATCCATCGATAGCCCTACCTTGGTCTAATGACCAAAACGCACCATGTACAGCATATATCTATTTCTGCAACACGGTTGCAGTTGTATTATCAGATTGTTCCCCCTCACAAAGCAAACAGACAAGGAGCAGAAAGAAGATTAAGAAAAATGACAAGTATGTTACCTTGATGCCCAAGTTTCTATGCCAAAATTGGCAATCAGCAGCTCCTCCCGCCATTGTACCAAGCATGTAAGGATTGATTTCAATAATTTTCTTAACAGATTGTGATGCTGCAAAAATAGTTCATTAAATATGAAATTTGACATGAAACATGCTGATAAAAACAATGGCATGAAACACTTGCTGATGAGATGAAAACCTGGATGATGCCCAGTATTATTAGTGAGAAATATAGTTGTTGCAAGGTGTAAAATTGCTTTTCCTTTTTATCTTCAATCCCCCCCCAAAGACACCCACCCACCAACCACAAGGAGAAAAAAATAATAATAATAATAATAATAAAGAAAACCATACTCATATGTTCCATTCTTTGCGACCGATTGGATCCCAAGAGATGGTGAGGTGGTAGTTAGGAGGGGTTGAGAAGTTATTTTACTGGGACTAAGTCAGCACAAACATGGTATACGTGTGTGACCTATCATGAGCCAAACATCAAATATTCTGTGACTTTTATACATTTCTTTTTTGAGTAATTAAAGCTCCTAATTCAATATATGAGCAATAATTCCCTTTTTTTTTGTACACAGAATAAACCTCTCAGTCGGTTGACAGCTCTACCAACTGCATTACTAACCAGTCAGTCAATACTCAATACCCATGAGGTCGCATAATACAACTAAACATCGACTGGGTTGACAAATGACCAGTCAACCTAGTCATGAACAAAATTATTATAAATGTTTTTTTCTTTGTGTTTATATATTTATTTAAATTATATTAATATATTTTATTTATGCCCTTGATTTGTTATATAAATGATGCTTGAAAAAAAAAATCATGATGGCACATAGTGTTATGTGAAATAGAAATGATACATAAAATAAAAGAAAAGCAGTGGAGGAGTTCTTTTAAGTCTTCTTCCAGTTAGTGGTTTGCCATTATGGAGTTGCCACAAACAAGGAGGAAGTATCAAATAGTCAAGGTTGAACTCGTGCCTTGTAAAACAAAGACTATATCACCTTTTATCTCAGCCTTCCCAACCTTTTCCTTTGGTTTTGAACATTAACCAATCAGAATTTATTGACTATTAATTAAAGAACAAAGAGTGTACCTTAACCCTTTCCTCCCTTCTGCTTTACATTTCCATTCAGTTTTCTATGGAAATATTCCTCCAGTACAATTGGTTTCTTACAAACCTTGCCAAACCAATGCATCAGGTAGACCATTTGCTGATCTTTGGATCCTAAAGAACCTTATCCCTATCTGCCCTCCAAACTTCCAATGTCTTTCAAGATATGTCTATATTTGCCACAATCCTTGATTGTTGTTTTTCATCCATCATACTATCACCTTAGAATCCTTCTACACGATCTTCTATAACTGAGAGAAAGTCCCAATCTCAAACCTTGTAGTAGTGCTAGGAGTTCTGCTGTTCTGGAGTCTCCATAACCAATTGGTACTAAGTAGGTGGTCATAACCTGTCCTTGATCACTCCAAAATACACCCCCTATGCCTGATTCTCCAGGATTGCCTATGCTACCTCCATCAAAGTTTAGTTATGGTTGATGACTTGATTTGGGTGGGATCCTAGAACAGCTAATAGTATAGCTGATAATCTGAAAAAAAAAGGTGAACAGGGATAATGTTGATCAGAGATTACCAGGACGTGGGTCTGACTTGTAATGCTGCCTTTGTTTGGTTTTATCAAGTTTGCATACATATATGCATATATATGCAATTACACAAAAAGAGAACTTGACTACACGAGATAGGTCATGGATGTCGCATCAAGGATGGAAGAGAGGAGGCAAGTAAGCGGACCTAATTCAAGCCCTACAACAAGAGAATAATAATGAACATGGAAATGTAAAGCAGTGGCTTCAGTGATTGAGAGATAAATTGATCAAACAATGAACATGGAATTTAAGAAAATCAAATAAGAAACTAAATGTAAATGTAGAATGATTTTGGACAAGTGCATCAAGTGAGTAGCAAAAGCGATGCAGAACCAAAGGTGAGTAAAGGGAAGCCAAACCCTTTCGTTCCTCTTGATTTGTGTGGGCCTTCTAGTGGCTGTTTATTCAGCAAAGCCCAAGCCTATTAATTTGTGAATTAATCTAAAAGGCCACTCCAGCAAGCCCAAGAAGTTGATTACTTGGTTGTCAACTCATAAGTAGTCCAATAAAATATTTGAAGGATTCAAAAGATTCATTTTTTAGCAAGTATTTCATTTGTCAGTCTCATTGTTTGGGTAAAGAAATATATTCTACATCTCAAAAGAGATTTTGAATTCAAACACTCTTTTGGTATGAATGGATGAAGTTTGAATTATTCTTGCAATTTTATGGCCTCCTATAGGCTTTGTTTGAAACCCCTTCACCAATTTACTAGTTCTGTTTTATTAGTTGGTTGATTGTTTAATATTCTTATATTCTGTCCAGACTTTTTTTTTTTTTGAGAAAAGGTAAAGTAGAATTGTATTAATCAACCGGTCCTTTGTACAATGAGAAGCTGTACAAAACATAAATAAAAGGACCTCAAAAGAAGGCCACCTTCAAAAAGATTACAGTCAGTTGATTCTACGGACCATTTCCTGGTGTAATGGTAAAATTTCGGGCTAGCAAGCATAAGAATGCGGGTTTGAGTCCGAGAGTGGGCACTTTGTGCAAAACACTGTCAAAGCTTAGGACCTTATCCAGTCTACCGTTTCAAAACCCAAATAGCTAGGACCAACATTGGGTAGTGGCTTTTTTTATTTGTCGGTAAGACTCTGGTTGATTAGCCTAGATTTATATTGACATATTTACAAGAAAATCTACTTGTTTTTAGATTGTAGCAATTGGTATTTTAACTGATTCAGCAACTATGTGACTTTAGAGGTCTAGCGCCTAGCTGCCTAGTTTGTTTGAGTTCAAAATAATAGGTGATTGATGTGAATGAAGAATCTAAAGCCTTTTTCCCTAAATCCATCACCTAGGTGATGTCTAGGCAGGTGCCTAGGCAACCTTGGCGCCTTAACAACTATAGTTGGAAACAAGATATAGAAAAGACAACTGAGATGGTTTTTCCATAAACAATGAAAATTTTCATAATTGAGGGGTTATTGGTGCAAATTTAAAGTCTTAAAGCACACAGAGAATCTTAAAATCCAAGTAGTAGGAAAAGATTTTAAAGTTCATTGTTTAAAGGTTAATGGACCAATAGGGCAGAATGGGAGAGAAAGGATCTGTGCAGTTGACCCCCAATTAGCTTGGTCAAGAAAGATCACAACGAGAGTGATTATGGACAGGAATTCGTTATTAATTGAGTAATTTATTGAGTAAAGTTTAAATTGCGCCAAGATAATTAAATGGAAACGAAAAAAATAACAAAATGTGATCAAAGTTTAACACCAAAGAGAGACACTCAATGTAATGGAAGTGGTTATAGTTAGACACATACAGATATATCCTCCCATGCTAGCTCTAGAATCAGCAGCAACCATAACTCCTTCCTTAAATATGAAAGCAAGTGTTGTTGTCCCTTTTGCTGGCTTCAGCGTTTGTTTGGCTTCTTTCTGAAAGCCATCAAACTGCGGAGAAAAGGTTCAGCCTCTAGAAATCCTTCTTTATAAAAACTACAAATGAGCTATATTAAAACAAAGCAACTGGTTATAAATAAATAAATAAATAAATAAAACAATTACATCAGAACTTACATCAGTAGAACAAGGAAGCTCAAATGAAGGGGCCGCTGAGAATCCATCGCTAAGTTCATTGCCTCCCCCAAACAGCGGAAAGGCTGATTCAAGACCACTCAAATCTATCTTCATGCTTATCACCTAACAGAGAAAAAAACGGAAGAGAAATAAAGTTAAGACAAACATCTCTAATTTTAAGAGAGCAATGAGTGATTTACAATGAACAAAACGAAATGCAAATAAAAAAGAATCCCCGGAAAGAAAAAAAAAAAAAAAAGTCGTAGAGTCGTAGAGTCGTAGACAATCAAAACCATGAATATTCCACCAGAAATAAACCATGGAATCTTCTCTAGTTATAGAAAAGGGCCTCGCATAACAAATTATCACACTTAAGTATTCCATTAGAGATAGATCCGGAGGTCCCTATGCAACCTACATTCGATTCAGTTGACTAGATTTCAGCTGCCTAAAAGAAAAAAAAAAAAAAAAAAATTGTTTTCTCTGGCACTTGAATTCAGATCATAGAGAATTTAAAAACTCATTTTAACACAAGGATTTCGAACATTGAAGGGAGAATAAGTAAAAACCTAGCCTCACCTGTGAAGTAGAAGAATAAGAAGAAGAAACAACGAACGCAAAACAATGAACAGAGTATGCAATCTAACAAGAAATTGTTGTTGTCGAAGAAGGGAATCAAAGAGGACGCCAAGCTTGAGGAACAAGAAACGTTTCAAGGGAGACAAACAACGCAGATGAAAGTCGGTATTCTACTACTGAATTCGGGAGATCAAAATGTAAGAATTCTGCAAACCGATGCTCTGAAAAACTCGTAGCAGACCGGATCCGGTCTGATTGGTTGATATAAAACCACACCCTCTCGACTCTCGACTTGTACAACCCAAACCCAAGGCAGGACAATTCGACTTGACCAAAAAGAATGGTCCAACCAGGCAACTCACGGAACCAGGCAACCCAAACCCTCTCGACTTGTACAACCCCAAAACTCTTCAAACAGAACTGATTTAGGCACCCGGATTTTTTATAAGCCAAGCTATTTGGTTGGTTATATGATCCGATTAACAATCCATTGGATCCGAATATGATCCGAAGTGTTGGATTCGGACAAGATTCGGATTTAACCTACATCTGGAATATTATGCTTAAAAATGACAAGAGAATAAAGAAGTTTTATAAATTAATTATTTTCAACTTATACACGTATGATAAATGTCTACAAATATAAGATATTAAATTTGTTAGCTACAAACATTTTTAATCAGATTCATATATTAATCGCATGGGATAGGATTAAATCCGCAACCAATCCAATTATAAATCAGATGCAAATTCTAACACCTGAATCCTATATAATCAAATCAACTATCAAATTTTTAGAGTCTAGCCTTAATCACATGCATAGAAGATAACCCTCATACATCAACTTGAGTGGTGACGGAAAAACATCCCACATTTGATAAACCACTAAAATCAAGAAGGATTTTCTAAAATACAAAAAAATAGTGTTACCTTTTTTTTTACGCCTTCAACGAAAAGTAAGACCGAATCAGCCTCCTACAACATTCCACACCACATCCCCACCATGTATTGAGAACATCTCCCGATGATGATATTATCATTCCTAGTATTATCATTGGGAGATATTCCCAATACACGTGGGGATGTGGTGTGGGACGTTGTGGGGGCTGATTTGAACTCACGAAAAATAGCATTATTTGTTATTCTCTATGGATATTGCTCTATCTCATTATAAATGGGGGGTATGTCCCTAAATCAATCTCATTTCCAATTGAAGAGAACCGTTTTCAGTTCTCTTTTTGTTCATTTATTTTATTTTATTTTACATTCTATACATGCCATCATGAAACTTATTCCAAAGGGGTTATGAGTATTTATTTTTTAAATTCTTTTATGATTTAAAGTTCCACTGTGGCTCCCATGGTTTTTTAATTGCATGAAATTTTAGTATTCAGTTAAGGTTAAACAAAAACAAAATGTTCTAAAATTTTGAAAGTGTTTTATTTATCTATTAGTCATATTTAACATATACTAAAGTCTATTTATTAGAGACTAATGCCAATACTTGACTTAGCTTTACATCAAGAACCGTATAGTCCATTCTGTAAGCTCTTTTTGCATATAATAGATAATTTGTGTGTATATGTGTATATATAGTAGGGAAAATTTCCTATTAGTACCTTATACTTGAACTCAATGTCATTTTGGTTACTCAAACTTTCAAAACATGTCAATCCAGTATCAGACATTAACAAACCATCAGTTATATGTATCATGTGACATGTGTGGTTTAAGCCTTGAAAAATATCAAAATTACCCTTCAAAATAAAACACTATTCATCATCTTCTTCTTCAAGAAGATGAATCAAATGCACAAAACACTGAGTAATTGATGACATAGTTCTCTGGGCGGATGCCATGGTTCTCTAGGTTGGAGGTACAGAACTGGTTTATGCTTAATTGGTGTCGTCATTTTTATTTGGATTAATTCTGCTGAGATTAGGTGAAGTACCATATGTCCTTGATCTTCTTAGACTTTATTCATTTTCCTTTCTTTTCTAGCTCTCTCCGTTTAGTTTGTTACTTTATGGATGAGAACCAGTCAGCATGGGAACCAGAGTAACCCCACATACAAGCAGCCTTTCCTCCTAGCCCTGAGCTTCTAGCTAGTTTATCACCTGGAAGAATAGGACCCACGGGACATGCTAGCTCCCAGTCCGTAACCCCATATCTGCGGCCTAATTTGTAGTCTCTTCGTCACCGTTGAGGAATCCTTGGAGGTCTACTAGAGGCTCTCTAAGCTCTTCCTGACAGTAAACCAATTCACCTTGTGGGTGCTTCACATTCAAGGGAAGATTGTCTCCACCACATTTGGGCATTTGAATGATTGATAAAGAAAATCGGATGATACCTAAAGGGCATTTATGTCTTTTTGAATGTCACTTAACGATTAATTAACAATAAACTAAATTGTCACAAAGACCAAAGTAGCACAAAACCCAAAATACATGGTACCAATCAAGAATTTTCCCTATAAATAAAGTTGATCATAGCCAACAGGCGCAGGACCCCAAACATCAGAATGAACAAGCATAAATGGAAAAGAACTATCACCCATTTTCTTATGATTTTTTGGAAATGAGACATGAGAATTTTAGGCTAAATGACAAGTTTCATAAAAGTTAAATTTGATAACATATATTAACTTATATCTTTACGCACTTGCCCCTCACACAAGTCATTTTGGTTAATTTGCGTAAAGTTAGATGTTACTGAAAAATCTAGCTTAAATCCAAAGAGAGGCACCGTAAGAAACCCAATGAAAGCTGCAGGGATTTGCAAGGGTGAACGGGCAGGTGGGTAAAAGGACAAAATGCATTAAATTTAGAAACTAAAAGTCTAAAAATGGTGACAAAGGATGAACAAATTGATACAAGAGAGGTAAATCTCAATGAATCATGGCAACAAAACTGGAATGCCCGCCCCATAAATGTGTCCAGAAGGCCTCCTAGGTTCCTACCTCACCTCATGTTGACAAGAAGTTTTTATCACCAGGACGCATAATTGCATCTAAAGAAATGAAGGGGTGGGACTCATTCACCATTTCAGTCCATCCCCCATAATAGATGCAGTACAAAAGTAGTCCATCAAATCAGATTACCATAGCTATCTAAAAAATAACAGTTGTTTGACAACTAGAATAAAAAAGGATAAACATTCAAGAAAAACAAAGGCCAAATCAGATGGTTATACATGTGGCGTCTCAGCTTAAACAGATTCCTACTTTCTTTTGACAGTGTAGTCGAAAGAATGTCCGAACAAGGCTTCCCAGAATCCCAACACATTGGCCACCATCTGTTCAAAAGAAAAAGGAAAAAAAATCTCATGCAAGAATTTCTACAAATAATGCGTGACACAACTCAACCAAGGCTTGTCCCAACTATATGGGGTCGGCTACAAATAATGGGCAACTGCTGATTTTATATGCATGGAAAATTTCATAGAAGCCTTATTTTATCATGATTTTTTCCTTGTTATAGCAGATCATTGAGCAGAAAGACAAAATTTGCATCTCTGCTGAGAACTCCCCCAATTTTTTGTGAAGCTCATAGTTGACCATATGACGGTTCATTTTGTACTTGTTGCCTCACGACCCAATAAAATCTTCTCCATTTCATCAAAGTATGGCCAACTTTTCTTGCTTTTCTTACCAATCCTAATTTCCTGCTGACAGCAAAAGGGACGTTATCAAGCAAAAGCATTATAAGAATAGCTGCATCAAGAAGAAAGAAAAGGGAAAAAGTGAAGCATCATCCATGACTGCTGTAGATGACATCTAAATTCCAAGAAGAATGGCGATGGAGGCCAATGCACGAGGCTCACACCAATGCAGGGTCTGGATAGGGACAGATGTAAACAGCCTTACCCCTGTAAATACTCAGAGAAGCTGTTTCCAAGATTTGAACCTTGGTCACCTAGGTTGCGATGGAGCAACCCAACAGCTCGCCAAGGCCCATCCTCCAAATTCTAGGAAGAATGGACACCACATAATTAAATCAAGATAAATTTCCAGGTAAAAGAAACCTAAAAAGATGTTCATGACCATCAGATCAGCAAATTTTTACGAGACTCTAAAATCTTCTTTTTTCAAGAAGCCCCTAACACAGTAAAACTGCACCAAATAAGGTGGTTGTAATGTTATGACCATCTAATTGGAAGAACTGATGTCCCTGCGTGTGACATGTATCACACTTTTTTTGTTTGTGTAAGCAGTTTCATATAAACCATGTGAGGAAGGACCTTTTTCTGCCCTCCCAACGTAATACAAGTAATCATCAACCAATATGAATCAAAAGCATACAAAATTCTCCATTTTCATAAAAACCACCATGCAAAATAGTGAAACGCAAAGCCTAACCTCATATTTCTGAATTAGTGATGCCCAAAGAGATTTGCACTGGCCTGGGGTTCGATTTATCCCATAAACCAATAAGTTTGCAGATATCTCCTTCCAAAGGACCATTCTCCCCTTGACAACTTGGAATCTGCTATCTAATTCCCCACGCATTTTGATTAGTTTCATAATCTCTTCAGGCATCCATTTATTCCGTTTCGCAGGCTTGGAAGATGCTGATTGAGGACTTGCCAATTCAGCAGAGCCCTCTCCTCTACTTTTTGTTCCATCTTTATTAAGCTCCAGATGTTCCTCTTTTCTAATGGAACCATTTTCAACCTTTCCTAGGTGCTCAAGAGGGGATGGTGTTACAAATAAATTCCAAAAATCATCCGAATTTTCTGCAGTGGGAGAAGATGAGACTTCTAAATCTGAGCTTGACATTGTTGCCTCCTCCTCCTCAGATAGTAATTGCCCATCAACCTCACCTGGCATGTGCAGACAGGAGGAAAAATGAATCAGTAGAACATAATTAACTCAAACCAACTGGTGAAAAGGGTGTTCCCCTATATGTATGTTTTCTTTTCAAAACAAAAACAATATCATTTTGCTTATAAGGCAGTTGTTTTTGTTTTGCAAGAAAAGCATAAATATTGGTATACACCCCCTAAGGTTACAAATTTCTGGAAGTTAGATTAGTTTGGAGAAAAATTTGAGATTACCCATTTTTTGTAAACAAGTATACTCATAGCTACCGATGCATGTGAAATCCACACTGCGGATCCTCATTGTAACAGGTTAGCAGGTGGCTTGAGAGGGCTCCACATGGTGGATCCTCTATCCGAATAGCATTAAGCAAATGCTGCCACATGGCAGAAAAACCATATTCCATACATCTTTTCGGATAAGAGCAAAAAAAAAAAGAATTTCATCCAACGGATGTTACATAGGATAGAGAACTGACATGGACCAGGCATTGAACATGTGAACAATAAAGATAATGAGATGGCATATAGATGTCGATGATCTTTCAATAAAACACTTCTCTTGCAAATGGATAAAAAGGGTGCAAAGGTTTCACAAATAGACAACCTGCAATTTCGTGTTGCACAGAAATATCTTTCTCCAAGTGAGTATTGCCACTGCCTGCTTCCTCCAGCTTCCTGCTTGACCTCCTCTTTCTGGGATGCTCATCAACTATTTTATTTAACCCCAATAGCCCAAAGCCAACATGGGACTTGCTAGATGATCTTACATTAATCTCATCAGATAGAACTCCAGTTGTGCTCTCCACAGCAATTGCAATGACTTCAGGCCTTTTACTACTGTATTTTCTTACCATCTTCCTTAATACCTCAGACACTGTTCTTTCCATGTGAGCTAGGGGGCAGTTTACAGGACAGCTAGATAATGCAGCATGGGCAGCTTTATATAGTGCATCTAAAAGTTTCCCTTTGTCAAGCCATAAGCAACGCGTTGTGATTCTTATTTTCCCCTTGATTTTTCTTTCAAGTAGGCCATCCACATTTTGTGGGCGTAAAACTTCCATGCTGCAGTTAATGAAGAGATTCAGCAAAAAGGACTGTGCTACATAGCATGCCTACTTAAGAAAATGTGCTGTCTGTCAAACTATTAAAACTGCATACCTGACAACTATAATACCATCCAATGCTATTCTTAACCTCTCATCAATGCAGAGTTCTGTGGATGTTCCAAATGCTTTATCACCATCATTATACATCAACTGCAATTGAAATTTCGATTAACTAAAATATTCGTTATCTTATATTTTAATAGGCACTCAACATTATAGAGAAGTTTTTTTCTGAATCATCAAACACCCACCTGTAAATTTTCCTTTCCCAAGGAAATAAAACCATTCGATAGAACTCTTCTGTTCCTCAGGTGTGAAACCCCAAGCATTTCCCCATTCTTAATAACCTGTTATGAACCATACATTGTTCAACATGAAACCAAATACTTTATATCATTGAACAACAATATTTCTTTATGAATTCAATCCAAATCTCATATTATTAAATCATAATTGTAGTTCATATAGTCCAGTGCGCTTTATTGCAAATAATAACGTGAAGTACAAACATTTCTGTTCATAGCATTATAAATAATGGCTTACTATTCACAAGAAATTAAAATTAAGAGATTAGCAAGATCTTCAAAGTGACCCAACAACTATACCACTTGGAATTCAGCTAGAAACCAAAAAAAAAAGTCAGCCCATAGGCAGTTTGCCCACACAGTGAATTTGATCGGGACCCACTGGTAAAATGAGGTAAATGTTCCAGAAGGTTCATGTTGAATGTATTTTGGAGCATACTTGTATTTTGATCATTTAGAGTAATCACTAATGCAATATTTTACTTATTCTCAAAAAAATGTTGAATGTATTTTGGTGTTCAGACAACCTCAAAAGTTGGAGTTACTAGGCCAGCTGCAGGCAGAGCAATGGCTCTGACCTGAAAAACAAGGTTTTACCCAGAATCCAAGTCTAACCTCCAAGGAAAGTTCTTTTGAACTTAAAAGCATATCAGGCACAACATTCTTTCTCAAATTTGTGTCATTTGAGAGACAAGAATTTCCTGTCACAAATTCACTTTCTTTGACATTCAAGCCTAGTAACATTTTTTATTTTGTACAATCTTAAATGTAAATATTGTAATTAGATTTTTACATGATTCTATCAGAGATTTTAAAGCCAAACCAGACCCTAATTTCCGGAGCTGCAAATCCACAGTTCAACCATCTGAGTGAAGTAGTTCAAACCCTGATGAAATATAACATCATCAATACTTAAAACGCAGCCCAATAAAGGCTTATTCAACTGTTTCAGGTCCAGCTAACAAATACCATTCTGACATTCCATTCTATCAAGGGTTATATGTCCAATTAAATTGAACCCTCATATCTGATTACATTTGAAATAACAACAAAGAAAAGACATGTTAGGGGGGAAAAGGGGATTGCACTTGGACAGGATGTGGTTCAAGGGCTTCCTAGGGGAAATCAAGATTGGGCAAATTAAATCCCAGTCCAAACAAGATAAATTGTTTTAGGATACTCCTAACAATTGCTGAAATGTGGAGTTTTTACAAAAAATAATAATAATAACTAATAAATAAATAAAAACTTTATTACCTACTATAGGAGCAGGATAAGAGAGCCATAGGATTTATCTTCTTCCTAAAAGACTTAGTTTATATTCTAAAACCATCAGCCCTTATAATGCCACCTGAGATTGGGCAAATTAAATCCAAGTCCAAACAAGATAAATTGCGTTTGGATCCTCCTAGCAATTGCTGTAATGTGCAGTTTTTACAAAAAATAAAATATAAAAGCTTTATTATCCACTAGAAAAGCAGGATAAGAGAGCCATAGGAGATAATCTTCTTCCTAAAAGACTGTTGATATTCTGAAATCATCAGCTCTTATAATGGCACCCTTTCCTATATTACATTTTACTTTAATTGCAAATTATATCTAAATATGTGCAATGGCCATATCAATTTCTCCAGTCGACATGTCATCCTCGTGGAAAAGCCAAGCTAGCTATCATAGCCTCCGCTATCTTATGTTGACCTCTGAAGAACTTCAGTCACAGCATAAGGTTTTCAGTCCCAGCATAAACATCCCATGGAAATTGTGTTTATTCATATAGTTTCTTCAAGCTCCAAAAGAAAGTCACATCTTAACTATATTAGGTCAGCTATACAAACCCCAGTTTTCCATTCCATTCTGTTGTGAACCATCAAATTGTTTCCCATCACCTCAATCAATGTTCTTTTCAGCCTATCCCTAGCTCTTCTAGAATCACTAACTTGCATCCACTTCTCAGATGCTCAAAGACAACATAGTAAAATTATGGAAAATGTCAGAATATTAAGAAAACTATAAGAATGCATAAAAGCCCACTGTGGTTGACAGTGTACCACCCTCTATACACCCAAAACAGCATGCCACCTAAACACAGAAGCTTTTTCTTTTGAAGGAGCTACACTCATTAAGTGTAAAAAAACCAATCCATCAGAAACTGATTGCATTGACACACACTCAAGAGAATATATGCCTATTCTCTAAAGATACATCTTTTTATTTTACTTTCTTGTTTTCGTCAAGTTTTGGAGAGAACCTTCCTTTTATTTAACTTGTTCATAGAATGACTACTTATATGTTCTTTGAATTATTTTGGAGCCTCAATCAAATTGATTTATACTTCCAGTAAAGTTCTGCATTTCTTATGTGGTGAATGCTATTAGCATAATCAAGCAAACTAGATATTCTTCTTTGGGGATTCAGCAAATGCAATTGGATGGTGCCAACAAGCAGGTTGCAGGGATCAGAGAATCCATTAAGAGCAGAAATTTTGAAATCTTGACAGAAATTTAGCAGAAATTTTTAAAATCTTCTCCTTTTGACCCTCAGTCCAGCTACACTCTTCTCCCAAGTCCCAAGACCTCCCATAACTTTTATCTGGCTTGGACCTTTAGTGGGCCTGTTACAGAAAATGACGATTCTGAAGCAGGAATCAGGGCCCTCCTTGTAGGCCTCAGATCTGCTAAAGCTATACAAGCTGCTCCCTTGCCGGTTGAGGGTGACTCAAGGAATGTGGTAAGCTGGGCAGGTAAACCTAGAACTGGGACTTTGAGACTTGCCCACTTCCTTGTAGAAATTTCAGAGCTGGCTACTCATCTTGGTTGCTATCTCAGAGGGATCCCAAGAAAACTGAACCATAAGGCTGATTATTTAGCTAAATCAAGATTGGATAGGAACTTTTTCTATAGTGCAAATAGACTACAGGCCTGTTCGTTTGTTCTGACATCTGATGTCTGAAAGTGCAATAATTACGGTGCCGTTTGGCACATTTTTTTGCACGGTCTTTCGGCTGTTTACAAGCCGGGAAGACCGAAAATCGGTCTATTCCCGTTTGGCATTAGGAAGATCTAGCCGCCAAAAGACGCGGCGCTGAAAAGACGCACGAAGTCCATTTTGGGCTGATTTAGGGAAGATCAAAATGAAGCTTCTCGCGTCTTTCATGTTTTAATCTCGCACGGAAAGACCCGAAATGACGCACGGAAAGATGTGCGTCTGCCAAACGGTCTTCGGGCTGCCCAGATCTTATGTCAAAAGCTCAATGCGTTATTGACCGTCAGAGCTACGAGAAGATATTCTCAAAAAGACTTGCCAAAGGGCCCTACATTAAGAGGTCTTTTTATGAATGAATAGTGTTTTATTAAATAGAGATAAAAATAGTACAAGCACGAAACACCCTAAGAGGAGGCACAAGGTGTTACCTCCCCTTAAGGGTGGTTCCAATCCCAACTCTTTTCAGATTACAGTTACAAAGTAGCCAAAAACAGAGAATCCCTTGAAGCCCATTGTTTAGCTAGAGAATCTGCCAAAGCATTTGCCAATCTACACCCATTGAAATCTAACTGACATGGTTCTCATAAGCCATTTGACTTTTTTTGGTGATATCCCGGTATCCCTATATCCCCAAACAACAGTTTCCTAGTCGAACATCCATCCCATACATTAAGAGGTATATTGGTATTGGTGAACTTTTCTTTCCTCTGAACTCTGAATGCAAAGAATGTTGTTCTGAATTCTGAAAATTGTCAAATATCCATTTTAACCCCATATATGAGAATTTTTGTTTGTGTTTTGGGGGTATCATTGGAAAACAAAAAGTTGTAAGATTCCTCTTTAAGAGATAAGAGGAAACGAACACCTAATTTCCTCTTAAAGTTGTAAGATTCCTCTTAAGAGATGAGAGTTAAGAGGAAACGAACAGGCCCTACCTGATTGTTGATGGGGCTTTTGTGTTCTTTTGTTGCTTAGTTTGCAAAAAAAAAAAAAAAAGGAATCCTTTAAGAGCATGACCATCTGGATTATGGACTCCTGGAGAGTTGAGCTCTCATGAGAACAAGTTGATTTGAGAGATTGGAAGGGCCTTTTTATATGGCCATAAGCTAGTAGCTTATTACCAGAACAGTTGATTGGAGAAGCTGCTTAGTAATTTATAGTGCAGCTTCACATATACTCCTTTCTTTTCAATATATAATACAATACCTAGCAAACTTCTGCACTTTTTTATGTTTTTTTTCTCTTTTTCTAGGTCTTCTGCACTAATATATGGTCAAAATACACAATGCAGCAAATTGACTGAAATATAACATATTCCAAAAAGAAAGGGTTCATTCTTAAGTCCACCTGTGGAAATATACGGTAGAAATCTTTGAGTTTCTGTGGTAAATTCAAATGCATGCAATTGAAATGCTGCAATGTGGAAGCTTATACCTCAATTGATCTTTAAAATTAAATCTTTAACTTTCTAATAGTCTTTCTTTTCCAATTTATGGCTTCCTGCTTTGCCTCTAATAAGAAGAGAATTCCCATTATGTGTAGACATGAATCACTTTTGAACTTTTGGAAATTACTTGCCAATAAATCCTTGTAACTTCTTAGTGGCACATGAATGAAAAGCATTCCCTTTGTCCTCTCTAGATGTAAAATTTATAACCAAAAAAAAAAAACTGAACCAATACTTATTATGCATTAGACAACTATGGAATTCTATTAAGATAAAACAAAGCTCTAATCCAGTCTTGATCTCCATCAAAATAAATTTAAATATATATATATATTGAACATTCTCATTACTAAACTCAAACAATTTAAATAATCACTTTCTGTCTTAGACTCCTAGGAAATAATACATACAGCATATTCTCATCTTTTTCACTTTCTATTTCATTCCCCCTCCAGTTTATTTAAGATGCATCTATACAAGGAACAATATGAACTATAAAGTTTGAGTGCTCTGGAGAACGTTTTTCTTCTGAAGTGTTTTTGCATCAAGACTAGGTCTTTCCAGAAAGTCCTCGTCTAGATAATCCAAAAGTATGAACACATAAGAGCAATAATAACAAACAGAAAGCAACTCACAGCAGTGTGCCGGATGCCAGTTGATTTCCCAAGTAATTCATGCTCTTTCAGGAACAGGAGTTCTCCATGGATGGGTAGAAAATGTTGCGGCTTCACAATCTTAAGCACTTCCTCCTTCAAAAATAGAAATTGGCTTCAGAAATGTTTGCATCACAAAGAAATAGCAAGAATTAAATAGAAGAGAAAACTCATGTTGAATGAGATACCAAATCCACAGATCAACAATGTAAGCCAAAAAGGTCAATTACCAATTAAATGACTAGAAATTGTTTTATAAGCAACTAAAAATGTTGAAGATGGGATGGGAAGAATTCACCACAATAGGCTTGCAATGACTTATAGGCTTCATTTGTTTGCAGTGCAAATCCAAACTGAGTGATACGTACCTGATTTGCTCCATTTTGTACCCAGTTCAGTTTTGCATGCATTTGTTTGCCATTATGATTTACACACCTACCCGATACAAAATCTGCACTGTTTCATTTGCACTCGTAGGCAGTGCAAATTTTGCATCTTAAAACCTGATGTAAATTTTGTACTTCTTTCATTTTCTCCCATATATTGGGGACCTCTTGCACTCTCATGCATTTGCACTCTATCCCATGAAGTGGAGAACACTTGCACTCCCATGCATTTTACACCCATTTTCATCTCAAACAAATAAAGCAAACTAAAACCTGGAGCAAAGGTGATCCATCAAAACAAAGAAGCAAAAGCAAGCCAGAATTTGCACCAGCACAAATTAAATTTGCACTGCGAACAAACAGAACCATAAGAATGCGAAAAAAATTTTCTCCTATTTTTTCTTTTTTCTAATTGGTCAGGTTCTGCATAAATTTCCACAAAACTTACCAGTTCTCCACGATACCCATGACCAGATGTGTGCAGCCCCTCATTTTTCCCCATTACAATTGTAGAACCAAGTTCAGCTATCCGGTTCATCATTTTCATTACCCGAATCTCATTCCCAGGAATTACCTAAAATATAAAAACAAACAAATGACAACAGTAGTATATAAATACAATAATTCCATAAGAAAATAAACCCACATAAAATGAGGGAATGCAATTAATAATTCTTGCCTATTACAGGGGCAAATAAGTTAAATTGATAAACTAAAATGATAGTAATACCTGAAGGGAAAGAGAACAAAACCAATTTTAAGGTTGGAATTGGAAGTAGTAATGTTGGAGAAAGCTCAATCCAAAATGAACGTGTTACGATCCATTTGTCCCATGTTGGTAGTATGGGATGCTAATGTGAGGTATCCCACATAGGTAGTATGGGATGCTGTTGTGGGGTATATATGTGTTTGGGTTCCCTCCCTCTAACAGCTAGCTTTTAGGGGTGAGTTCTCCTAAGGCACATAACAAATGGTATCAGAGCCTACACTATGCCTCCCAGTTGCAATCGTGCAGCGCAAGTGGTGACGTCGGTATTGCAGTGTTCGGCCGGGACTAGGTGGACTAGTGCAAAGCCAGCCTGTGTAGGCGCCAGGACTGCGGAGCATGGTGGAATGTTACGATCCATTTGTCCCATGTTGGTAGTATGGGATGCTAATGTGAGGTATCCCACATTGGTAGAATGGGATGCTGTTGTGAGGTATATATATGTGTTTAGGTTCCCTCCCTCTAATAGCTAGCTTTTAGGGTGAGTTCTCCTAAGGCACATAACAGAACGACTTCTAGCTTGAGTTCTAAACTGTTAATTAATTTATAGGATAGACAATCAGATAACACTATTTAACAGGTCCCCCTCAATAGTTGTAATAGATAGCTTTCTCACTAATCCCAAATGAATGCATTGAAATACAAGCTACAATTAATTTTACAAGGTTCCACTTTCACCCAAGGATCAAAATATTGTGGGATTGCAAGGGCTGATGCTGACAATTTGATAAGAGGTTGGAGGATTGGTAGGGAGGAGGTGGTGGTCTCACACTTACAATTTGCGGATGACATCATCTTGTTTTGTGATGGGGAGGAAGGGGAATTACGGAACTTAAAGAGACTAGTGCTTCAATTTGAAAGGAAGTCCAATCTTAAAGTGAACTAGGGAAAAAGTTGTGTGGCAAGGCTCAATTTAGGGGGAGAGGAGGTGGATTCCCTAGCTAGGATTTTGGGGTGCGAAGTGGGGAACTGGCCTTGACAATATTTGGGGCTACCACTGGGAGGAATCACTTAGTGAAGTGGGAGGTGGTTTCTAGGAGTAGGGATGATGGAGGCCTTGGGTTAGGAAATATAAGATTAAGAAACACAGCTCTGCTAGGGAAATGGATTTGGAAACTACCGATGGAACAGGACAAACTTTGGTCTAGAGTGGTTGTTAGTATTCATGGATTGGCAGATAACGACCAGGATGCAAGACTCGACCCTGGGCTTCTCGGTGTTCTCCTTGGAAAGCTATTCAAAGTATTTTGCCTCTTATGCTCCCTCATTTCAAACATGATGTCTGCGCTGGAAATAAAGTCTTGTTTTGGGAAGATGTTTGGGTTAGTGAAAACTCCCTTAGAGATAGATTTCCTTCTGTTCAACCAAAGGTTCATGGAAGGATTATGTGGAGAGCCACTAGAGCTGTTGTATTGTGGTCAATGTGAGAGAAAAGAAACAATAGGATCTTCAGAGGTAGTTGTAGAACCAAGGAAGAGGTTATGGAAGGAGTAACTACTAAAGTTATCCATTGGTTGAAATCCTGTGATCTTTTTAAGGATTTCTCAACTAAAGACATTTATAGAAGTTGGGGTATTGTGTGGCAACTACTACTACTTCCAAAGCTATGATACAGGATGTTTGGTCCCCACCGGCACAACAAAGGGTAAAACTGAACTTTGATGGAAGCTCTATAGGTAATCCGGGCCCTTCTAGTATAGGAGGTGTTTTCAGAGATAATGAAGGCAAGATAGTGGCTCTGTATTCAGGTCCAGTAGGAGTTGGAGATTCCTTAAGAGCGGAAATCTTGGCACTACATCAAGGTGTAAAACTAGCTAAACAATTGGGGCTACAGCAGATTGAAATAGAGGGGGACTCCAAATTGGTAATTGGGTGGATGTAATCATGGCAGTTGGGAATTTGGCAGTATAGACAGCTGATAAGGGAAATACTTAGAATAACAAGGGAGTTGGGTGTTTGTTTCAAGTGGGTAAAGAGACCAGCAAATGGTTTTGCTAACGCCCTAGCAAAACAAGGGACTGTAAGGAAGAGACTACTGGGCAGTGCTGTAATGTTTGATGTTTATTGGATCAACCTTTTCTAATAAGGATTGCCTTCTGTATTTCAGTTTTAATTTATCTCTAATGAAAGTAATTGTTTCTGATAAAAAAAATATGTTGTGGGACTTGACAATGTGGACCTCGGCACATTTGTGTTCTGTCTTCCTATTTCTTGTTGGGCTATACTTCTGTTATTAAGTGTTAATGGGCTTGGGCTTCCTTATTTTATGTTACTTCATCCCTTACTGATGGGTGGGGGGTAAAGTTGTAATCTTATGTGTTTTAATGTTGCCCTAATATAAATATCAGTTTGATTGGCTGGATAGAGTTAAGCCGCCCTACTCTAAATTTCTTCTTCTTTCTTCTTCTTCTTGAATCAGAATACAAACACAAATATAGTTGGAGTATCATTCCAAATCGGAATACAAACACAAATATGGAAGACATCCCTCTCACACTGTTAAAATAAAAAATAAAATAAAACAAGACAGAATGAAGCATGAGTATCAATCTGTATTGATACACCAATACCCAATTTTGGGTATCAGTCTATCGATATCAAGGTTCAAAGTATCGACACGTATCGTTTCGGGAGCTCCCCGATATGCCCCTACAGAGGGTGTATCAAGGTTCTGACCGGTTCAGGGGGTGGAGGAGCCTTAAACCAGCCCCCCTGAACCGGTTTTGAAAAAAAAAAGTAAAAAAAAAGAGTATCGATATCGCCCAATATGCCCCTACCGGCGTATCGGGCGTATCGATATTTTGAACCTTGATCGATATTTTGATCCCTGCCTTAAGCCCTTAACCTAGATAATCTCCTAAATGGAACCAATTAAGTGGTGGATATTATATCCTCTGTTAAATAAACTAATCAACAGTTAAGGGCTCAGGCTAATAGTCTTCATTTTTGCACGAGCTTCTTGCAACATTAATTATCAAAAGAAAGGGATAAAAGGCATCAACTGTTGCAATAACAAAGGTCAGGACAACATGTTTAGAGTTGACAAAAGTTAGCCTCCAGACCCAAAATAACATCTCCTGACTTTCTCTAGGATTCCTGGGTCAGCAACACTAGCTAACAGTAGGGAATCTAGCTGGTCTGTGTTCTGTGTTCCATCCATTCCAACACCATCATTTGTTGTTTTCGTTTTGTTAGTGTTTCATTATGTAAATAAGGTTCAGATTAATAAAACAGAAACTAAGAACGAATCTAAGAACAGAGATGAGAGCTTGAGATATTGCAGGTGGGAGAGAAGAAATCTACTATCCTGTTTGGTGGAGATTTAAAATCTATCCCACCTAGCAGGCCTGTGGTACTTATAGATTGCTAACAATAAGTACAGTTACTTAAATTATAGAATAGGACAAACAAGAGTGTCCTTTCAACAAGAGAAAAGACTAAATTGCCCATAGATCCAAACAAGAGAGTCAAAAGAGACCAAGAAAAACTACAGCTTTGAGTTTTGCCATACTAGAAAGAACTTTTACCTTAGCTGAATATAAAATCACATCCTCCTTGTTCAATTTGAGGGAATGACTACTTCCATATGATGCAAGGTTCAGGGCAGCACGAGGTTCTGCCTGACACAATACACAGTCATATGCCGGATGGATGCTACAGTAGGATATTTTTAATGATATGAATAATTATTGTGATCTGAGTTCATGTATTATCTTACCTGTGAGCCTGTAGTAACAATTAGCAAATCTTTCGGATTATACGTATCAATATCTTCCACCTTCACCTGTGTAAGAAATGATACATGAGGCAGAGGAAGGGAGAATTATAAGACATGTTTTTTTTTTTCTTTTGCATAATGTCATATGATTACAATAATGGCCTACCAAACACTGGAATGATCAATTAAATCAAAATAAAATCTATTAAGTCAGTGTATTCAACTGCCCTCTCTGACCCCCCAAGGATAAAGGTGCAACTGAAACTTGCAATCTGAGAAGTAGAAAAAAAATTAAGAAAAGAAGGGAAGAGAAAAAAGAGGAGAGTGGAAGAAAAAATGATTTGGAAAAGAGAGAATTAGCTCATGATCAGCCCATTCATCCCCCTTATTATTTCCTTCATACAAAAAACAATGAAAGTACAATAACATCCATGTCCATTACATGCTTATTTCTCTACAAAAAGCAGTGCTATCTATTCAAATTGCATACACACAGAAACTTGTTCTTATTACTTCTATTAAGAATCCCTCTTTTGCTAATAAAAGAATAGAAGAAAAATCTCCAAGTCGCCTAAAACCAAGATGATAATCAATTAAGTACTGTTCTTACCAGAGTTGATGGATCAATTGGTGCTTTTCCATCCTTCCAGGCAGCATCCAAGTATGTCCTTAAAGACATGCCAACAAATACCTGTTACACAATTCAAGTATGGTAAAACTTCCATAGAGCATAGACACTCTTTTTCTTCACAATTCCAAAGGTGCATGCTAACGTCAATAAGGAAAAAAAAAAGAATATGAAGAAAGAAACAAAAGATTCATTAGAATATCGATAAAAAAAGATACATTAGAAAATGAATTAAGAGAACCCATGATCAATTACCAACTTCCGGCCAGTTAAATCAGCTGCAGCTTTTACACTACCAAGACGATGTATGTTAGATGCAAACTGTGTAGTAATAACTCTTCCTTTAGCAGCTGAAATATGTCTTAATAATGCATCTGCTACAACTGCCTCACTAATGGTCCTTCCAGGTGATAGCACATTTGTTGAGTCGCTCATCATCTGAAGACAAAAGCTAAAAAGAATTAATGCATTTCAGGCATTCTATTAGCCTTTGCAAAAACTATGAGGTTAGTCATAGATTACGAATTGCAGAGCAAGGCACACAATTCAAACTCCAAAGTAATATTTTAAATATTACCTTTAAGCTAGGCCTCTACCTGATCCATGACCAAAATTTTCTTTTTCCCAGATTACAATTTGCTTAAAGCCAAAAGGAAAGTCCAAACAAACTAAATTTGACATCTCCAACTCCTTTTCCTCTTTCCTATTTACCCTCTACTACTACTCTATCATCTATTTTCTTTCTCCCTCTTCTTAATTCTGCTCCTACTTCATTATTTCCTATTTTATCAGAGTTGTGTATATGTTCCATTAAGTAGATTTTAGTCCTGTAACCCTTCAAATCAGAAGGACATATAAAATTTTAAAGTTTTTCTTGGAACCTACAACCAAGAAAACCATGATCCAAGGTGCAAACCTAAGAGAATAGATCATGAAGTGGTGTGCGAGAATAGAACAGAAGAAAAAATGGGTCACTGGAGTGCTTTACTTTATCAAGAGTGTTTTTATTTTACATTTGAGGATTATAATAAAAAGAAAATTTGAAGATTTTTTATCTTCTTCCTGGTTTGAGCCAGCATCTTGTTCACCTTTATGGCTTTGCTTGCTTATGCACTTTGATCAGGCCCCATTAATGGAGCAGGTGCATGTAAGACGGGCTGTAGCGAGTATGCATGGTATCACCTTTTTTCATCATTTTGCAGCATCTCTTTTAGGGAGTTCTAGATCCAGGAATTTTCTGCTGAGTTAATGGTGGCTTTGCTTGTATATCTATTTTTTCATGTTTCAATGTGAAGTTATCCTTGCATATATACAAAAAAAAAAAAACAATGCTTTCAACCACCCTTCTATTGAAAAGAAAAGAAAGGAAGAAAGAAAAGACAAAATTTGATTAGAAATAATTTAGGAGAAAAAAATTGTAACCTAAATTGATTATTCAAATGGTCTTTGATTGTTAAGTTCCTTTTTTATCAATAACAAGAATTTACTAAAAACCAAATAATAAGAGATATAAAGAAAGGGGCACAGACAAAGAAAGGAAAAGAAAAACAAAGCCCAGGAAAACATCAACTGGCCCTGTACTAAACCAATCAAAAGCCCTGGACTCCAATCCCATCAAAGACCAAAAGGAGAAACTAGAAAGCACCACCATCAACAAGAATGCTAACAACAAAATGAACTCACACAAATTACTCAGAGTAATAATATCTCCCACCAAGACAAAAATAATAATAATAATAATAACTACCCTAATGACATTGACACCACCCCCCCAAGTTACTTGGAAACAGCTATGTTCACCAATGCCTTCCCTGCCAGTTTACCACAACCTTGATTTTTTTTATGAATAATAACAAGTTTATTGATTCAGAAGCAAATTAGAGTGAGTTCATACATCATCCCAACGAGAGGCGCCAGCTACAGCCCCTCCTTGAAACTTACAAGTAAGCTAGGAAAGAAAAACAAGAATCACAACTGAGCCCAAAATAATTCTTCCCTATTTACCCCTTGCTTAGCTAACACATCTGACAAGGTATTTGCTAATCTCCCCACCCACTGTACAGTGACCAACATATTCCTTGTCAACCAACTAAATTTCTTCATTT